GTGCACTGTGTGGAAGTTTAGGGACGCAACCACCTTTCCGAGGACGTGGTTGGGAAGAGATAAGTGTTAAGACTAAACAGGAGCAAGGTTGGACAGTGAATGGAGCCATCAACACCAGCTGCAACGTGATGTTTTTGTAACAATTGCACACATGTACGTAATTTACACTCACATACACACACATAGTCAAACAAGTTCAGTGTGTCTTCAACAGCCCCCACCCTTTAGGTTGGACACACCTATGTAGTAGATTTCCCAATAAATAAGGGGGTGAAGGGGGAGATCGTGAGGGGTGACGTGCCGAGAACTGAAACCGAACGCTTCTCCTCGTTCCCTCCTGGTACCAGAATTGAGTCTCCTGTCTCCTCCTTGTGTTTTATTCCTGAGTGTCAAATTGGATAAACCTGACATTTTTTGGGGCATTGGCCGGGAATTGAACCCGGGCCTCCCACGTGGCAGGCGAGAATTCTACCACTGAACCACCAATGCTCTGATATAAAATAATCAATCTATCACCCAGTGTCTGCGTGGGTTTTCTCCGGGTACTCCAGTTCCCTCCAATCCCAAAAACATGCATGGCAGGTAAATGAAACACTCTCAATTGTTCCGAGGTGTGAGTATGAGCGCAGATGTTTGTTCGTCTATGTGTGCTCTGTGATTGGCTGGGAACCAGTTCAGGGTGCGCCCCGCCTACTCCCCGAAAACAAGTGGGATAGGCTCCAGCACGCCCGCGACCCTTGTGAGGATAAACAGATGTGAGTAAAAAGTGGATCGGGGGGGAATCTGGCTTTTATTTTGAAATTGGAATTGCCCCCCCTTCAAAATCTATCAGTAAGTAAGTATATTTGCTAATGCCAAACAGTAGCTTGCCTCTGGGTTTTCAAAGGACTGTCATTATAAATCCAAACCATAGTACAATGTGTGTTTGTCTTCTTATCTTGCAGACATAAGTGAAGATGTTCGTCTCGAGTGGCAGGGGCCAGAGTCCCTTCGTGTTAAAGAGAAAGAGGAGGACAAAGAGCGTTCCTACTTTGAGGAAGCAGCACAAAAAATTATTTACATTAAAAGAGAGGTTGTAGCAGACCACCCTTGGATGAAAGAGGATGGAGAAGGGTTCCCCTACATCAAAGAGGAGGAGGCGGCAAGCTGCACGCTGCCATCGGCTGGTATCCCTGTGAAGTATGAAAATGGCCAAAATGAGGAGAACGGATGGGTCGAGCCTCCAAGCAGTAGCTCATCTCAACACATGACAACAGAAGGTGATGGAGACCAATATCGTGGATCACAAGCAGATGGCCTCTTGGCTCCACTATCGGATAATGACGAAATGTCACACCCTCCTTCTGCTGATGATGATAATCATGATAATGACAATTCTGAAGATGAGATGACATGTCACACTGACAACAAACACTGGAAGTGTTCTCAGTGTGGGAAAGTTTGTGCATATAAGAGCCGTTTGAAGCGGCACATGAGAATACACACCGGTGAGAAACCTTTTGCCTGCTCAGAATGTGGCCAAACATTCTCTCAGAAGGGAAGCTTAAAACGTCACACAAGTATACATACTGGTGAGAAATCATTTGTCTGCTCAGTTTGTGGACAAAGATTCTCTGAGAAGGGAACCTTAAAAATACACACAAGAACCCACACTGGTGAGAAACCTTTTGTGTGCTCACTTTGTGGCCAAAGTTTCTCTCAGAAAGGGAGCTTAACAATGCACATAAGAACACACACTGGTGAGAAACCTTTTGTCTGCTCGGTTTGTGGCCAATGTTTTTCTCAGAGGGGTAGCTTGACAATGCACAGAAGAACCCACACTGGTGAGAAACCTTTTTCCTGCTTAATTTGTGGGCAAAGATTCTCTGAGAAGGGAAGCTTAAAAATACACACAAGAACACACACTGGTGAGAAGCCTTTTGCCTGCTCAGATTGTGGCCAAAGTTTCTCTCTGAAGGGTCACTTAATTTATCACATGAGAACACACACTGGTGAGAAACCTTTTGCCTGCATGGACTGTGGCCAAAGATTCTCTTGGAAGGGACACTTAATAAGTCATACAAGAACCCACACTGGTGAGAAACCCTTTGCCTGCTCAGTTTGTGACAAAAGATTCTCTCTGAAGGGAAGCTTAAATGATCACCAAAGAACCCACACTGGTGAGAAACCTTTTTCCTGCTCAGTTTGTGGCCAAAGATTCTCTCGGAAGGGACACTTAATTTACCACACAAGAACCCACACCGGTGAGAAACCTTTTGCTTGCCCAGTTTGTGATCAAAGATTCACTCAGAAGGGACACTTAAGTTGCCACACAAGAATCCACACTGGTGAGAAACCTTTTGCCTGCCCAGATTGTGGCCAAAGATTCACTCGGAAGGTCAAGAGACACAAGTGTGCCGGTAAAAAACGCAATCAAAATGAAGCTGCAAATGAAAGTGTTACTGTTTAAAACAACAAATTTACTGTAATTATTTACAAAAATTTGCACAATTGAATTCTCTGTAAAATCTTTTATCTAATCTTTTTGACGTCTTTAGGGGAGTTCACATGGCAACATTTGCTCCGGTGCTACCCCAGTAGAGTGGTCACACGTGCAAAGTTACACCGGTGTAGCCCCTGAAAACAGCTTACTCCGGAGCAAATTTAACCCACCTCAGGGAGGTAGTTTAAAAATTTGCTCCGGAGCAAATGCTCGTTTGCGGGGCAGCACTGATGTAAAATGGTACGTGTGAACGCTACAATTTGCTCCGGAGCAAATGCTCGATTGCACAACTGTCTGTGTCTTATGTGTGTTGTATTATTTTGTCATTTTATGTTAACTGTTCTTTTGATGGCGGCGCGGGCACCCGCAGCGGCTCCTCTTGTTGTCTGGTTGAGAGGGAAGAAATTTCATCTGTTCTGTATGTTGCACAAACAGCGCCTCTGACAATAAAGTTGTACTTGACTTGACTTGAAATATAATACAAATTGTTAAATAGTGAGTCTTTTTTTGTCTCTGAAATAGGCTGGAAACAGTTACTGAGAAGGTGTGTCCGGCAACGTATTAAAGGGACTATTTAACCAAGATGGCCCATTTTTAACTGAACAACAATGTATTTTTATCACAAAAAACGGAATTAGCTTTCCTGTTCGATTTTATCAGTTTGTTTTGGTCAAATCAGGACAGAAAAAATTCCCCTTTTCTCCTCTTCAATATAGATTTGCACCCCTCAACCCCCCCCCCCCCCACAATATTTCAATGAGAACATCTACAAAAGTGGATACAATTTGTGCCGTTTAAATCACTGACGTTATAAGAAATGCACAATGTCCAAAAACTCTGCTAACTTGGCACCAAAATGTATGTGGGCATCTCAACTTGTGCCCACTTCAACTTCGGAAAATATCACAACAATAAGCTTTCCATAAGCGTTCACTGTTAGAGAGTGAGGGAGTTAGTAAATGGGCTGCTTACCTTTTTTCCTCACAATGAGGACAACAGATAAATTGGCAGCTTTTTATAATGAAATGATGAACAGATCAGGCAAAATAATTAGCTTACAGTGCAATGTATTCACTTTGCACTATTTATTGTGCATGCAATGAAAGTTTGTGCCACTGACAGTTCCACCAGCTTATTGAAAAAGAATGAATAACAGCAGAACACATTCCACATTGTTGTGTGGAATGTGTTATTGTTACATTGAGGTAAACAGTGTTTACCTCAATGTAAAAATTAGGTGAAACTGTCTTATGCATGCATGTCAGTGGTTTGGATTGAAAATAATGTAATAAAACGAACTTATTTGTGATTAGCACACCATGAGTTCACCTAAGGAGAATCCAAATTGTCTCGGAATTGCACCAAGAACTGTTCTGAAGTGCAGACAGAAAGAGATGTTGATGTCCGCATCACAGTGCAGAGGTGCAGGGTTCGATTCTGGCTCCGGCCTTCCTATGAGGACCTTGCATGTTTTTCCCGTGTCTGTGTGGGTTTCCTCCGGGTACTCTGGTCTCCTCCCACATTCCAAAAACATGCATGGCAAGCTCATGGAACACTCGTAATTGTCCGTAGGTGTGATAGTGTGTGTGAATGTTTGTTCGTCTACAGAATGTGTGCCTTGCGATTGGCTGGCATCCAGTCCAGGGTGTCCCCCGCCGACTGCCCGCAGACAGCCGGGATAGGCTCCATCACGCCCACGACTCTTGTGAAGATAAACGGATTAGAAAATGGATGGATGGATCGGTTTGTCTTGACCGCAGTGATAAACGGAGGCTGGCTTGACTGCAGCGAGAAGCTCTAACGTGCACCGAGACGACTTTAAAGTGAGAAGATGATTTAACATAATGTCTTTTAGTATAGAAAAGGGTGTCCTGTCTGAAGGCTTGAGTACATTTGAGACATATTCGGGAAAATGCAATGCCGCGCATCGCAGTGGATTTGCTGCAGCGAAAACTCAAAGTCAAAGCTATTTTGAAGTATTTCAAGCACGAATCGCCATAACAACAGGTGAGAAGACCTTGTAACTGATCACACACACGCCCAAAATTTATATCTATCTATCTATCTATCTATCTATCTATACAGTGTGTATGTATATATATATATATATATATATATATATATACAGTCCCCCGGCAATCCAGCCCAATCACTCTGGTACAAATCCGATGTTGCATTTGGGAGTATTTCAAGCACGAATCGCCATAACAACAGGTGAGAAGACCTTGTAACTGATCACACACACGCCCAAAATTTATATCTATCTATCTATCTATCTATCTATCTATACAGTGTGTATGTATATATATATATATATATATATATATATATACAGTCCCCCGGCAATCCAGCCCAATCACTCTGGTACAAATCCGATGTTGCATTTGGGAGTAAAAGGCCTCCGAAAAAGGAAAATATGACCTTATTCCCGAAAAGTTGGCCTGAACGCCTAACATGTGGACATTTTCGACCGTTTTTAAAAAATCATTAAAAAATAAACCTTCGTTATCCCGCGAGGGCCGTA